CCCGAGTTTCTCTTCCTTTTCCTTCCAAGAAAACTGTTTGCAAAGAAACAGTCCCAAGCCCCGGTGCCTTGCTGGCCCCCACCTGCCAGGCAGAGGCCCCCCTCCAAGGGCTGTAGCAACTTTGCCAGGGCTGCTCTTGTGCTCCAGGCACTTCCACGGCTGGTTGCTCTGCTGAGGTTAAGGTGGCTGGCACGAGAAAGCCACGAGAAAGCCCACAGGGGCTTTCTGAGGTGTTTGCTTGCACTGCCAGTGCGGAGGATGAGCTTCCACACTGGTCCAAGTATGTGACAGAGGAGGGAAGGCTGAAGCAGTCTCATTTCGTTATGGCATTTTCCCCTAACGCACAAACCCGGCTATCCAGTTCTGGGGCTCCTTGCTGTCCTTTTTAGCCAGTTCCCTGCACTCCCACCACTCTGTCCAGCAACGGTCTGGCCCAAGGTCTCCTGGGCACACAGCCAGCCAGTCCCCAGGGCTGCCGCATCTCTGAGCCATGGGGATGCACGGGGAAGGCGGCTTTTCTCTCCAGGATGCCTGCTGAGGCAGCCAGCTCCGGGCACCTTCAGTGCTGCCCACAGCCAGGGAGGGCCAGCAAGAGAAACGCAGCTGTAGGGAGCAGATGGAGAAGCTCTTTTAAAAACCAGAAACTGCACCTTTCAAATTTCAGCAGAAATCCAGCACATTCAGGGGCTGTTTTCTAAAGAAGCAAGACCAGAGGAATTCCCCCATGGCTGGTTTTGGTTGCTCTTTCTGTCGCTGCTGGAAGGTGGGCATGAGGCTGCATGGGGAAGCGGCGCAGGGAGCTAGGGGGCTCCAGCCCCAGCCCCGAGCCACATGCCCAGCCTCAAGCTGAGGACAGCAGGGCACAGGGAAGGAAATGCAAACCAAAGTCTGCGTGGGGGTGGGGAATAAAACCTGAGCCCAGGGAAAGCCCCTGATGCCCCACAGGCATGGGGAGGACTTTTGCAGAAAAAGCTTTGGGAGTATCCCAGGGAAAGCTGTGATGACCAGGGGCTATGAGCAAGCACAGAGGCTCTGGGGCGCAGCACCCTTGCCGGGGCTCGCTGCACGGGCACCCACTGCTGCAGCAGCCCCAGGCGCT